TATATTCTAGATACAGGTCCCTTATCAGTTATATTATTTGCAAATATTTTCTCCCCTTCTGTTGGTTATTCACTTTCTTGATAGTATCATTTGTAGCACAGAAGTTTTAAATTTGATTAAATCCAATTTATCTAATTTTTTTGGTGTTGGTACTTATGATTTTGGTATTATATCTAAGAAGGTCATGAAGAGTTACTCCTGTATTTTATTTTATTAATTAATTTGTTTTTTAGAGAGGGAGGGGTGAAGGGCAGAGAGAATCTTAAGCAGACTGCACTCCCAGACATGGGACTTGATCTCATGACCCTGAGATCATGACCTGAGCTGAAACCAAGAGTCGGATGCTTAACCAACTGAGCCACCCAAGCACCCCTGTATTTTCTTTAAAAAAAAAAAATTTGTTTTTTGGGGTGCCTGGCTGGCTCAGTCAGTAGAGCATGTGATTCTTGATCTCAGGGTCATGAGTTTGAGCACCATGTTGGGTGTAGAGATTACTTAGAAATAAAATCTTAAGGAAAAAAAACTAATTTGTTTTTTATTGAGGTGTGATTGACATACAGCATTATATTCAGGTGTATGACATAATGGTTTGATATTTGTAGATATTGTGAAATGATCACCATGGTAAGTGTAGTTATCATCTGTCACTGTACATAGTTACAGAATTTTTTCCCTTGTCTCCTGTATTCTAAGAGTTTTGTAGTTTTATTTTTATTTTATTTTTTTAAAGATTTTATTCATTTATTTGCCAGAGAGAGAGAGCATGTGCACAAGCAGGGGCAGTGGCAGGTAGGGGGAGAAGTAGGCTCCCCACTGAGCAGGGAGCCCGATGCAGGACTCGATCCCAGGACCCTGGGATCATGACCTGAGCTGAAGGCAGACGCTTAACCAACTGAGCCACCCAGGCGTCCCATGAGTTTTGTAGTTTTAGTTCTTACATTTGAATCTGTGTCCCATTTTTTAGTTCATTTTTGTGTGTGGTGTGAGATAGTGGTCCAATTTCATTCTTTTGTACGTGGATACCTTGTTGTTCCAGGATGTTAAGACTTTTCTTTACCCATTAATCATTTTGACACTCTGGTCTTAAGGTTTATTTTTTTGATGTAAGGACTAATTTGAGACCAAATTCATTGATTTACTCTTTTCTTCTTTTAATTCTACTAGGAAACTAAAGTTATTTTTAAAAACTAGGCATTTTTGAAATTGTACAGCTGTTTTAAGCAAGGCAACATGAGAAGCCTTAGCAGTTCACTCTCCCTTCTCCTTAGTCTATTCCATTCCTAAATGGAATGGAACCCCTTCAGGGGTTTTTATTTGTTTGGTCTGATAAATACAAAATCTGGAACAAATCGAGTGTCAAAATAAATATGCTAATTGGTAGTAATTCATTGAATTATACAGGAGTCTGAGTCTATACTAATATAAGTAAAATATATAAGGAGAAGAGTAAGCTGTTTCTTAAAGTGGAATGCTAAATCATAATAATAATAGAAGTGGTGTTAGAAAAGGTAGTGGAGGGGCGCCTGGGTGGCTCAGTCGGTTGAGCGACTGCCTTCGGCTCAGGTCATGATCCTGGGGTCCCGGGATCGAGTCCCACATCGGGCTCCCTGCTCGGCGGGGAGTCTGCTTCTCCCTCTGACCCTCCCCCCTCTCATGTGCTCTCTCTCTCTCTCTCATTAAAAAAAAAAAAAAAAGAAAGAAAGAAAAGGTAGTGGATGCCGTAAGTTGCTAAGAAGTAGATCTTAAAAGTTCTCATCACAAGAAAAAAAATTCTGTAACTATGTATGGTGATGGATTTAACTAGACTTATTGTGGTGATCAGTTTGCAGTATATACAAATACTGAATCATTACTGTTGTACACCTGAAACTAATGTTTTATGTCAATTAAACCTCAATTAAAAAAATGTGGGGCGCCTGGGTGGCTCAGTTGGTTGGGCAGCTGCCTTCAGCTCAAGTCATGATCCTGGAGTCCCAGCATCGAGTCCCGCATCGAGTCCCGCATCGGGCTCCCTGCTCGGCAGGGAGTCTGCTTCTCCCTCTGACCCTCCTCCCTCTCGTGCTCTCTCTCATTCTCTCTCTCGCAAATGAAAGAAAAAAAAAAATCTTTAAAAAAAAGTTTAGGTATATCTGTCTTAAGCCAGGGCTGAAGAGAAAACAGCTTTTGGTACTCCAATTAAAGGAGCTTGTTAGCACACAATAATATTTGCTTATGAATGATTTCTGGGGATAAAGGAGGGCTTTTAAGTTACATGTTTATTACACGGGAATACTTAACCACCTACAATATGCTAGGATTTTAAAATGGAATTAAGACAGTTAATATTAGTGTGCTCTATAACAGAGTTTGCATGTTAGTTCTCAATCCATGGAGCAGAATCTGTGTAATTCTTAAAACAATTTGAGGGACTGGTCAGTATGAACTCTAGAAGGAAGTTTGAGGTTTGGAGAACCATAAATGTCATTGCCTCCTTCATGTGTGGACATTGGCTAGAACCACTTATGTTATTGCTCACCTGTTTTGCTTTCTGTAGCAGTTGTTGGCATTAGACAGGTATTTGTGTTGTCTCTAAAAAAAAAATTCAATAGATAACCAGAACTAGTGGGTGAATGTTTAAGGAAATAGGATATATATGTATATGTATATATGTACACATATATCTTAGTCTATTTAATTAATTAATTTTTTTAAAAGTACGCTCCACACCCAGTGTGGAGCCCAATATGGAGCTTGAACTCATGAACATGAGATCAAAACCTGAGCTGAGATCAAGAGTTGGGTGCTTAACTGAGTCACCCAGGTGCCCCCAAGGTATTTGAATAGACTCAAGAGGCAGGGAGAGGCAGAGGGAGAGAGAAAGGGAGAAGCAGATTCTCCGCTGAGGAAGGAGCCCGATGCGGGGCTTGATCCCAGACCCCTGGGATCATGACCTGAGCTGAAGGCAGCCGCTTAACTGACTGAGCCACCCTGGTGCTCCTATTTTTAACTTTTTGAGGAACCTCCATACTGTTTTTCAGTGGCTGCACCAGTTTGCATTCCCACCAATAATGCAAGAAGGTTCCTTATTCTCCACATCCTCACCAACATCTGTTGTTTCTTATGTTGTTGATTCTGGTCATTCTGACAGGTGTGAGGTGATAGCTCATTGTAATTTTTTTTTTTTTTTTTTTTTTTTTTTTTTAAAGACTTTATTTGAGATAGAGAATGAGAGCTAGAGAGAGCATGAGAGGGGGAGGGTCAGAGGGAGAAGCAGACTTCCTGCCGAGCAGGGAGCCTGATGCGGGACTTGATCCTGGGACTCCAGGATCATGACCTGAGCCGAAGGCAGTCGCTTAACCAACTGAGCCACCCAGGCGCCCTCATTGTAATTTTGATTTGCATTTCCCTGATGATGAGTGATAATGAGCATCTTTTTCATGTGTCTGTTGGCCATCTGGACGTCTTCCTTGGAGAAATGTCTGTTCATGCCTTTTGCCAATTTTTGGGGGGTATTGTATAAAGTTTTTTAATATATTTTGGATACTAACCCTTTATTGGATATGTCATTTGCAAATACCTTCTCCCATTCCGTAGGTTGCCATTTAGTTTTGTTGGCTGTTTCCTTTGCTGTGGAGAAGCTTTTTATTTTGATTTAGTCCCAATTTATTTTTGCTTCTGTTTCCCTTGCCTCAGAGGACCTATCTAGAAAAAAGTTCCTATGACCAGTGTCAGAGAAATTACTGCTTGTGCTATCTTCTAGGATTTTTATGGTTTCAGGTCTCACATTTAGGTCTTTAATCCATTTCTTGGGGGGAGAGTGGTAGAGGGAGGGAGAGAGAATCTTAAGTAGGCTCCATGCCCAGTGTGGAGCCCAGTGGGGGACTCAGTCTTACAACCCTGAGATTATGACGTAAGCTGAAATCAAGAGTCAGACACTTAACTGACTGAGCCATCCGGACATCCCTCTGTTTTGAATTTATTTTTGTGTATGGTGTTAAGAAAGTGGCCCAGTTTCATTCTTCTGCATGTTGCTGTCCAGTTTTCCCAATACCATTTGTTGAAGAGACTGTCTTTTTCCCATTGGAAAATCCTTCCTGCTTTGTTGAAGATTAATTGACCATAGAGTTACAGGTTTATGTCTGGATTTTCTATTCTGTTCCATTGATCTGTGTGTCTGTTTTTGTGCCGGTACTGTACTGTTTTGATTACTACAGGCTTGTAATACAACCTGAAGTCTGGAATTGTGATGCCAGCGTTGCTTTTCTTTTTCAAGATTGCTTTGGCTATTTGGGATCTTTTGTAGTTCCATACAAATTTTAGTGTTGTTCTAGTTCTGTGAAAAATGCTGTCAATATTTTGATAGGGATTGCATTAAATGTGTAGATTGCTTTGAGTAGTATAGACATTTTAACAATATTTGTTCTTCCAATCCATGAGCATGGAATGTCTTTCCATTTCTTTATGTTGTCTTCAATTCCTTTCATCATTGTTTCATAGTTCTCAGAGTACAGGTCTTTCACCTCTTTGGTTAGGTTTATTCCTAGGAATCTCATTATTTTTGGTGCAACATATTCATTATTTTGATGCCAATCCCAGAAATATCTTTTCATTTGTAAACAGTTTAATATTTGTCTCTGTAAACAGTGCAGTGACAGTACCACTATCCCACATAAAAAATGGAGAATATTTAAGTATTGATTTTAATATTGAGAAACTTGACCAAAAAGAGCAATTGATTCTGAGAATGGCATGTTATGACATGTTTAAAACTCTTCTGATATGTTGTTTAACATACACTATAATTATAGGCATAATTTTTACTCTGTTGTGTCTTTCAGCTTTTATAACAATTAAAACTAGTTTAATAGTAAAATTTGGATTCTAAATTTATTTTAAAATATCTATTCCTTATTAAGATATAGAGAAACTGGTAGTTTATATTTTAAATTAGGAATCTGTTATGTAAAAATATGGGAGATTAGATTTAATTTCTGCATAAAATAAATACTTTCTTCTTTTAGATTGTTGCAAGTAAGAACACCTTCCTCCAGTTACAAAATAATCCCAGAATATGCAGTTTAAATCTGCCTACTGAGGGAAGTGCTAGAGAAATTAATCATGGGCATAATTACACTGGGAAACACTGTTCTGAAGCATCTGTAATGGTAAAGTTAGATCCGCCTCATACAGGTAAGACTGCTTTTTATTGATTAGGTTTACACTTGACCAGTTGTATAGTATTATTTAAATTGACTGTTTCAAGAATGAATGTTATATTTGAAAAGTGTAATACCTCTAGATTGTTGGCAATTCAGATTTTTTGGGTCATAATTTCTTTAGTGATTGGATTAATAGCCACGTAATTCAAATCTTGTACTTTATAGTAGGTATCTAAGACTATTCATTGTGAACTTGTTGGTCAAGTATGGTCTGTTCCTCAAGTACCAAAATAAACTCTGTTTAAAGATTTGATTAAAAAAATTATAAAAACCATGTTGGCGCGCCTTGCTGGCTCGGTTAGTAGACCGTATGACTCTTAATCTCAGGGTCATGAGTTCAGGCCCTACATTGGTCATGGAGCCTGTTTTAAAAAAATAAAAACCATGTTAACAGTTCTAAGTTGGAGAGGTGAAGTTGAAATGAGTAAAATTGTTAATTAATAATAGTTCATGGAGGGGTGCCTGGGTGGCTCAGTCGTTAAGCGTCTGCCTTCGGCTCAGGTCATGATTCCAGGTCCTGGGATCAAGCCCCGCATCGGGCTCCCTGCTCGGCAGGAAGCCTGCTTCTCCCTCTCCCACTCCCCCTGCTTGTATTCCCTCTCTCACTGTGTCTCTCTCTGTCAAATAAATAAATAAAATCTTAAAAAAAAAAAAAAAAAGTTCATGGAGTAGCTGCAAATCAGTTAGATTTGTATTATGAAGGTACATAATTGAAGGAGAACCAAGGATTTAACAGATGCTCCCTCCTTGCATTGTTGAATTGAGTTAAAATAATGATTGTTTCTTTTTTATCTGTCAGAGATTAATATTTTAGAAGTAATTAAAACAATAAATAGGGTTATTTACTGGTGTTTATATGGCCTTCTGAAAGACAACATAAGACTACATTTTTCCAAATGACATTCATTTTTTGGTTGAATAAACAGATTCAGGGAGAGATTCCCATCTGCTGTTCTATACAAGAGTGATTGTCATCCTTAAGATACCTGTGCAAATCAGTGAGATTCCTTAAGCACTTAACCTTTTGAAGGAAGTTGAGGTTTGTGAGGATTAGTAAGTTTTACCTATGAATGGGTTCATTTCTTGTTGGGGGAGAAAGGAATTCTGTATTTTCCCATCTGACTAGGATTCATAGTTTCATTTATGTGTTCTTAAAATTTTTCAAAAGCTGTGACTGGTGTTAGGACAAAATTGAGAAGCACTTTTGGAGCTGGTTGTAGGGATCTGAGATCCCTGAAGACAGTTCTGGGTATGGCAGCTTAGCTGCTGCACTGTCTCATTGATTGGCTCTCTCATTTCTTTTCTGCTTGTTTCCCTTCCTCTTATTTTTCTTCCATCTTTGTTAAGTGAATATCCTGTTTTCCCAGGTTTTTTTCTCTACTGCCAAGCCTGTGGCAGATAATGATCCACCTCTGCCTCTTTCTTTTTCTATTATGGTAGCTAATCTCTTCACCAGAGAATGATATTTAGACTATAATACGTTCTGTGTTACTGATTTCCTGCTTTATTTTTGTTTTACTATAGTTTCTCACTCTTTAACCTGCTAAATATGAGAAGGGAGTTAAGAGTTAAGATAAATTGAAGAGGGAGTTAATTTACTCAACTCCTAATCCCTTAATCCCTTCTCTGATTTAGTACATTTACTGGACTGGGGAATCTTTGCCAACCTCCTGACACCCTCCTGCCTCTCATTCAGAGAGAGGTTAATTGGGGAAAAGAACATTGTGAGAAACATCTTGCTTTGTGGTGGATTACTGGAGAGGGATGTTTTATGTAGAAAAGTATGGAGATGAGAGATCCATGTAGTATAATTCACCTTTTCACATCTTTTTTTTTTTTCCCTCACCTTTTCACATCTTTTTAATCCTAGATCTAATCCACCTTGAAGTGGGATGGAAGCCTGTTTGTCCCAGTTAAAATATGTCCTCATTTTCCCCCATCATCTCTTTTTTTTTAAGATTTTATTTATTCATTTGAGACACAGAAATAGAAAGAGAGAGAGCATGAGCAGGGGGAGAGGCAGAGGGAGAGGGAGAAGCAGGCTCCCTGCTGAGCCAGGAGCCCCATGTGGGGCTCGATCCCAGGACCCTGGGATCATGACCTGAGCCGAAGGCAGATGCTTAACCATCTCAGCTACCCAGGCGCCCCTCCCCTATCATCTTTTTTATTTTTGAAAAATTTCCTACATGTAGAGAAGTTGAAAGAATAATTATCATCCTAAATACTACAGTTGTTAATATTTTGCCTCCCTGCCGCCATATGTCCATTTTTTTTCTGGATCATTTGAAAATAAGTTGCAGATGTTATGCCATATCATCCCTAAATACTTCAGCATGTATTTCTTAAAATTTAATAATACATAATATTTAATATCTACTTCATCAGTAATATCATTTTTGCATAAGCTGGTTTAAGTTTGGTTTCTTTCTCAACTTGAAAGTGCCCTAATGAGTATATTTTCACTCCACTGAACTTCACTGGGCACTTCAGGTCTCCTTATAACCCTGTACCTTTGCAGATAATAGTCCTTGTGTGAGAATGAAAGTGTAGGTCTGATGTGGAGAACAGGCAGAAGAAAAAAAAATTAAACTTCCTTAGACAGCTTAATAGCCCATTGACAAGTATTTGGGACAGGCAGAGTGACCTTCCTCAAGGAACTCAACTGCCTCAATGTTAATACTTTGCTAAGGGCAAAAGGCAACTTTAGCTTGACATTAGCCTGACCTCCAGGATCCTGTAAGTCTTTAACATATAAAAATCCTTTTGGAAACTACCTTTATCTTAACCCCCCTCCCTCAAGATATATGTTATAACAATCATCCTCTAGGCATATGGCCCACCGATGTACATCTGAAGGATCTCATGACTAAGGTTTTTCTAGACAGTAGTAAATGACTTTTTCCTAACAATAGCTAGCCCTTCAAGGTTCTGGAAAGCTTGCTTCCAAATTCTTTAGAGATTACACTATCCCTAAACTCCTCCCAAATTGAAAGTATATGATCAGCCTTTCCTTACAACCCCATTGCAGCTCCTTCTGCCCACAGGTCCTGTCCCTGTACTCTAATAAAACCACCTTTTTGTACCAAACACATCTCAAGAATTCTTTCTTGACTGTTTGCTCCCGGATCTCAGCATTTCACATCAGGTCTACCACTAATGACTTCATCCATGGCTCAGGGTATATGCCTTTTTTGGAGGTTGTGCTAGAAGGGCCCTCTTCTGTTTTTTAAAAAAAAATTTTTGGGGGGCGCCTGGGTGGCTCAGTTAAGCGACTGCCTTCGGCTCAGGTTATGATCTTGGAGTCCTGGGATCGAGTCCCACATCAGGCTCCCTGCTCAGCGGAGAGTCTGCTTCTCCCTCTGACCCTCCCCACTCTCATGCTCTCTCTATCTCATTCTCTTTCTCAAATAAATAAATAAATTCTTTAAAAAAAAAAAAATTTTTTTTTTTTTTGGTCTTGTCTACAGCCTCTACTCTTCGCCTTGGCTTGAGAAAATTAAAGGGGAAATATAATGGGTTGAATTGTGTCCTAAAAATTGTGTTTTAAGTTCTAACCTCTGGTACCTGTGAATGCAACCTTATTTGGAAATAGAGTCTTTGCAGTTGTAATCAACTTAAGATAAGGTCATACTGTGTTAGAGTGGGTCCTAAATCTAATGGTTGGTGTCCTTATGAGGAGAAAAGGCCACATAATGTTGGAGTCAAAGATTGGAGTAATACAGCTGCAAGCCCAGGGGCACCAAGGATTGTTGGCAACTACCAGAAGCTAGAAAGAGGCAAGGAAGGATTCTCCTCTGGAATCTTCAGAGAGAGAAAGGCTTTGCTGACACCTTGATTTTGAACTTCTGGCCTCCAGATTTTGAGAGAATAAATTCTGTTGTTTTAAGCCACCTAGTTTTTGGTACTTTGTTATGGCAGTCCTCAGAAATTAATACAGGAAGCCCTAGACTTCCTAATATTCAAAACAATACTTTCTTTAGAAACAGAAAGAAATTGTTTCATTCTTTCTGATTCCTTCTCATTCTCTGTCAAATTGTTCAACCACACTGTTCTTGTTTTATATTTTATTTATTTACCTGACTAAAGTGTGAATACAAAGGCAGGAACTTTCTCTTGTTCAGATAGTTTTAAATCAAATAGTATGAATTCAAAAACATTTTATGATTGAATGAAAGGATCTTGGAAAATTTATAGGTAAGTCCCTTGGGTAAGTCCTTTGGCTCTGAAGTGCTTCAGAGAAGTCAAGTAGTCAAGAAGAGGCTACTGGAATATTATGGTTTTCAGGGTTTGGTAATATTTGAGAGAACAGTTTAAAAAAATGGAACAAAAGTCATATTGTAATAGATAACTAGTGAGTGGAAACAGGCAAATGGAGTCACTGAATATAAGTAAATGAAGTATGTAAAAACAAATTTGGTTGTGAAGGGAAGGAATAGGGGCCAGAGAGGTTTTTTTTGTTGTTGTTGTTTTTTAGGATTTTATTTTTTTTAAAGATTTTATTTATTTATTTGACCAAGAGAGATACAGCAAGAGAGGGAACACAAGCAGGGGGTGTGGGAGAGGGAGAAACAGGCTGCCTGCCAAGCAGGGAGCCCGATGTGGGGCTCGATCCCAGGATCCCGGGATCATGACCTGAGCTGAAGGCAGATGCTTAACGACTGAGCCACCCAGGCGCCCCAGGATTTTATTTTTTTAAGTAATCTCTGCACCCAACGTGGGGCTCGAATCCACAACCCTGAGATCAAGAGTTGCACGCTGTTCTGACTGAGCCAGCCAGGTGCCCTATTACTGTTTTTTAAAAGTAGTATGTATAAGCTGTAAGGAATGAGATAGTGAAGAGGGGAAGATTAAGGATATAAAAAGGGAGTGATAAAATCTCTCTCCTGTGTGGATATTAGATAAGTGTTTTTAGTTGGGTCTAAAGTCCTTGGAAATGGTTGGGTGTCTTCTCAGGGGTTTATAAATTCTTGG